AGTCTGTTAAAAAAAAAAAATCAAACCAACAAAGAAGTGAGAAGTCTACCATATGTTATCCAGTAACTTGGCACGATGCCTGCTTAACTAAGTCTGTATCCATTGTCTAGGCAGAATATTCCTTTTGAGTTTTTGTGAAGTCTGCTTATATTAAAGTCAAATACCAATGATAATAAGATTTAATTAGTACTCCAAAAGTGTAGTCTTTAAGTCTCGAGTGCCTTTTTCAGTCTTCATTGGAAATAAGCTTTGGAACGTTTAGATACTTGGTGACAAATTTGATGCCAAAGTGTGGGTCTCATAGCTAAATGTGTTTGGATAACCAGTCCTCTTTAGATGAAAAGGAGGACTTTATACCCTGCTACTTTTAAGGAAAAAGTAGCAGGGTATAAAGTTTCTGGATGAGGAATTAAGATTTGGCCAGAAAAGGGGCTATATAAAAAAACCTCTCGCAAATTGTTCCATTTAAAATGTGGCTGAACATGCTTTTGTTAACAAAAGAGACATACTGTTTTACCCAATAAGTAGCCAGCCAGAATTAATTGGCAGAAAACCCTTTGCAGAATGACACACATCTCTTAATGCCCGTCACAAGTGGAGGATGTATTCCATGTGATAAGTACCTTAAGCAAAAACACAGGAAGAGCTGCTCACATTCTCTGCTCTCTACCTTGGAAAATAAAAGCATATGAATTTATTTTAGCACATTCAGACTCTAACAATCCACTTAGCAGTGAAAAAGAGAGCTGCTTGGGAGTGGTAATACTGTGTTAATGAAAAACAATATTGTAAGGGCTCTTACACTCAGGAACAATTTTCTTTGTATTCCTTCTTTTGTTGTGTATTTTCTATCTGTTCTATTCTGCTGTTAATATTTTAGGAGGTGATGGGAAGGTTTGTTTGTCATATATTTTGCTTGCAGTGGACTCATGTATTATTGGCCGTCAGTTTTGGTGCTCAGCTGCTGGTGATGCAGAAAATTAATAGAGTCTTCAGCGCAGGCAGGATGATAACAGAGTGCTGGGGGATGTGCCACCCCCACCCATGTGACTCAATAGCTCACACTACCAATAAGCTGTTTGCCCTTTGGAGTGCTGTATTAATAACCTTCATATTTTGTATGTTGGTATTTTAAAGTTGGCCCTGACATGCCTAAATAAAGAAAAGTTGCTAAAAATGCAGCAAGAGGAAAGGGCAAGGAAGACATATTTTCTTTTGGGGAGCATATCTCTTTACTGGTGGTGTGCTTGTTACCTGTTCAAAAGCAAACTTCAAGGTGATGGATCAGTTTTAGCCCGTCTGAATGAGGGACAACATTTTTAGAGAGCTGCTGCAGAAGAAGGACTACAGTAACTACTGTCAAGGGGATATTTTCCCACTGAACTCAGAATAGCTGTGCTGATTTAACTGGCTGCCGAGCTGGCCACACACCATTTGTCCTTGTTCTTCTGTTGTAGTGTTTTGAGAAGAAGAAATAGTGAAATGGGATCTTGGGTGATGGGGGTGAAGGTGCTGAAAACTTTCATGCTGTTAAAAAAATTGCAGAGTCCAGGACAGAAGACAGGAAGTTAATGCTGAGGGACAGCACAGATATCACAGTGATATGAGAATAGGATAGAGGGAAACTAAAAGGTGGATCAGAAGGGAACAGGACAGGTGGGTACAAATAATGCTGTGGGGAATTGATTTTTTTTTTTGGCTAATCTTTCATACCAGCCAGCCAAGCACCTCTGTGGAGCCATTGAGGACCCACTCTCAATTAAATTCCTGAACATCATATGAGCTCTGGCTTCTCTGAAGGACACAGAGTCTGCACCGTGTCGGTACGGTGTGTCAGATGATGAACACTTATAGAAGGTGTTAGTCCAAGCAAATCCATTCCCACACCTGACCGTAAGGGGCAAAATACAGAAAGCTGGGAAAGCAGCCACCTCCCAAATGTGTAGGGCTTCAGCTGCTGGTGCTTAAAGAGAAAACCTGCCAAGACAGTTTGAATATTTGTGTGACTAGATAATATCTACACAGAATGTTCCATCTGCAGGGCCATTTCCTTTCCTTTAGAAGAGGGCTTAGCCATGGCTGTGAAACAGTCACTGCTGAGCAGAGGAATATGGTGCAAACCATGCAACATTTTTGCACCCAATATTTGCACAAGAAGCAGTGGAAATTGTTAACTCCCTGTTTCTCCTGGTTGCTGCTTGGTCAAGCTCTGAGAGACCTCAGTGAGGGTTTGGGTTTTGCAGCTTGCTGGGGGTGAGGTCCTTAGTACCTCAAAAAAAAGTAAGTAATATAAAATAATAACTGCAACTTGCTCTTAGGAAGGTTTGCAGTGTGTGCATCAGTTTCTGTAAGGTAACATCTGGGTGGATAATGCAAAATTTATATTTAGCTCAGCTGCACTTAGGAGCAAGTTTAGGACAGAGAAAAGAGAGGACTAAATTGGGTTTGTAGAGGGAATGGAAAGCATAGAAGAGCCTTCTCCTTGCTCCTTGTAAAGCCTTCGCTCCGGAGAATTTCTGCTTTCCTGGACAAATCGTTCCTTTGAATGATTTTAGCTTCTGCATCAGAGAAGCTAAAAAAACCCACCAAAAACCTTAGTTTTCTTCCTTTCTCCCATCCTCTCAGCTCAGAACAGAGTACCATGCTGGCTGGTTGGGCATGGTACTCTGTTCTGCATTTTGGAAGATTGGGAGTCATTTCCTATCCTGTTTCCATCTAATGAGGGAGCTCTGGGAACTCAGCAGCCCAAGCACATACCAGCAGGCCTGCTGGAGCACTTAGCACCAGCTCCTTTAACATCCTGCCTCCCGGAGAGAGCAGTGCCAGAAAGCCAGGCTGCCCCACAGCTCATGAGCTGCCAGACTGTTTTCGGCTGCTTTTGAGTCATTTGCTGTCTTCTGTGAAAACAGAGAATCACAGCAGAAAAGTCAATGGCTGTAAAATGGCCAGGCTGATAAAAGACTTGAGAGTCCAGAGGAAACATCATCCTGCACGACAAGGCATCTCTGAAGTGTCCATCCTGCTGAAACATGGTTGTTTTCATCATCAGGAAGTACAACATGAATATTTCCTATCCTGTAAAAACTCCTTAAACATAAAATTGCTAGATACACCACTTGAAGTGCAAGCTTTCATCTTAACTATTGCTTGTATGCTGAAGTCAAAAATTGGTCCCTCAGCTTTCAGTTCCTTGTACAATAGCAGCACATTTCTCCTGTTGAACACAGACAACAGAGGCTTTAAAGCATTTTCATGGTTTGTTTGCCATTTCTGCTTTGGGTGTATTTTCTTTTTCTTTATGCCAAAAAGAGTTTCCACAAAATTGTAGTTTATTATTTGAAAGGTGATATTTTTCAGTGAAGCAACACAAACAAAATCCATGACTTTTTAATCAACAGTGCTGGTGTATTTTCTTCCCTTTAAGAATTAGTTCTGCAAAAAACCAAGCCCAGTAACCACCTTAGGAGAAAGAGTAAGCCAGTTCTAATGATCTCCCAGGGAAACCAAAAATGAAGTGCATAGCATCATTTGCTTGATCTTCAATTATTATTTAATTATCCTACTGATAGGCTCTTAAATTGTCTCTATTGGACAATTTCAGATGACTGCTTTTGTTATTGTTCACTTTTTCTCAAATGCTTCAATTGTGGACTCGCAGAAAAAAAAAAAAAAAAGAACACAAACCACCTTTCAAAAAGAGATGCAGGCCTGTAAAAACCCTGTTAAAACATCATGACCCTAAGCTGCTTGGTTGTGTTCTTCGGTAGAGATGCAGCTTTAGGGCTTCCTAAGTGGTACCAAAGTTAATTTGGGGGGAAAAGTACATTGGTGTGAGTGCACCTTCCCTTCAAAGCCCAGCCAGTTTCCCTTATGCACCAGGAATGGCTCACTAAGTTGAGGCAATAATGAAGTATTGAGCTATGCTCAGCACAGTCTGCAATGTCAGAAGCTGTTGTTTGCAGATTAGAATTGCTAAATACTAAAGGAAGCGAGAACAGCAGTAATAAGAGCAGAGTGACACAACTAAGCTGTTTATTAAAAAGAAAATAAAAAATTCATCAGCTTTGAGATTCGTGGAAATGACGTGAGTGTGTCCTCTTGTACTAATGTGCTTCAACAACAACAGTCTGTCTCATTTTTTAGTGCTCTAGCGAAATTTTTTATATCAAATTGCCTTCAATGATCCATCATTACTTCATAATGTGGTAATGGTGAGAGACCAAAGCAGGCTAATGAAATAATCCGAGCTGCTGAGGTGGGAAAGCCTCTCAAAGCTGCAGCTGAGAGCAGAATTTTCAAGGCTGATACACCACGGACAAACACAGAGCCAAGGCAGGAACAACAGAGTGAAAAGCTACGCTCTGGAACCTGGGGCTAGGAAGGAATGAGTAGGTTGCAGGATGAATTGACTAGCTGCTTTTGAATAAAACTTACTGAGCAGTACATCCCCCTTCAGAATTACCAGTAGTGGCAGGGAAGTGGTGGTTCCCTGCTTCACTGAGTGGGTAACAAGCTCATACACTGGGCTTTTTACAGCTCCAGGACTTCTTATCCCTCTGCCTCCTTAGCCAAGAATAAACTTTATGTTTTCATTTGGTATTGAACTTTACCCAAGAGAAAAAGCCTGGATATAATTAACTTATCACTCTTTTGTCTCTTCTCCAAAACCAGCAGTGTTTTTTTAATTTTTGTGTTCATTTAGAGGTGGGGTTTTTTTGCCTAATATATTCCTATGTTGAGATCAAACTGGCGACTGAGTATGGCCAGGAGAAAAGTTGCATTGCAGGAAGGAGCATTAAATTAAGCAATAAAGTGTGCTTTAGTGATACTAATGCTAGAAAAACTCTCACTTAAAGCAGACTAATAGAGTACATGTGGTGTGCTGGAAGGCTGGTGCTCCTATTAGCAAACCTGACAGGCTTCTGAACTGGGTTTTGGAGACCAAAGATAAGACACATTGGAAAAAAAAATCCCACAAGAGTAAAGACCTTTGATCAGTGGTGCATGTGCTTTTTTATTAATAATACAATAACAAGGCATTAGTTACAAATGTTTGGTATCAAGGTGACCTGTATCCTGACAGACATGAGGGTTTAAAGACAGTAACACCTGCTGGCTCTGTCACCCTAAGAGTATTAGCAAAGCCCAATACATATTACTAAGATCTTCATGCAAACACACTGGAGGGAACTTTAGTTGGCAAGAGGTGATTTTCTTTCAAACTTCTCCTTTGGTTTCATTTAACAGACAGCAAAGTTTGGGAAGGTGGAATCATCATCTAGAAAATTTTTAATTCATGAGCACTAGAGGTTTCATGGAGTTCCTTAATTAACAGCCTAGAAACTGTACTGCCCCACCATCCTGAGCTTAGAAACAGAGCAGCCCCCAAGAGGAAAGGCACCATTTATGGTTATTTTTGCTGCCCACACTGTGCCAGGTCAGGGCACTGATGTGCAAAGCATGGTAATAAATGACATGGAGCAGCAGCCCATAGTCTGGAGCTGCCTCACAAAGGCAGTGAGTGACACATCATGAAGTTCTGGCCTTTGAGGGAGCCCTTTCACCTTAGCAAATGCAAAAAAACCATAGCAAGGGATTTACTGAATTGCCAGGCAATTCATTCTGAGTAACAAGGGTAGCCTGGGAGAACTTCATGACATGGCAGGGAAGGCAAGTTAGATTCTTCAAAAAAAAATTGTCCAAGTGGATTTCAGATTCAAATGGATTTAGAAACATTATATTTCTCTTAAGTTGCAGAGGTCTGGACTAACAGCTTTTACCTTCATTATGTAGTTTGAGACAAGAGTGCAGCCATTCAGCAGGTCACTTACCAGCACAGTCCTGCATTTAGGACTCTACTGTCATAAGAAAAGTAGCTTAAATCCCTACAGTTACCTTGCAAAAATCTCACCATTCATAAGATTCAAGATGTGTATTTCACACACTGATCTCATTTCATGTTTGTTCTTTTGTGCAGCAATTAGCAAAGTTTTGTTGTTAATGTCTGATTTATCTGAACTACCCAATACAACAGCCAGCAGATTTCTTAGGGCTCACAGGGAGCAGAACACAGATCCATGTTAATGCTTCCTAAGGCCTTTTAAAGAGCTGTCATTATTGCTGTGTTGCAGTCAGTGCTTTTTTTATTACATTAGTACATCCACATTGTTATAATACTTTGTGTGTTTCATCAAACATTTTCAGACTTACATTTCCAAGGCTGGGCCTTAGCCAAGGGGATGTCTTTAGATGTTTCAGTGTAGACCCCAGTTTAGGGCCCAGACTCTCAGTTCATGGAATCAAATCATGACTTGATCATGGTGTAATGATGCTGAGCAAGGATCTGGCCCTGTGGCACCGTGTTTAAAAAGCTGTATGTCATAAAATACATACTGTTTAGTAGTGGCCACACTCATCCCTGGCACAGGAACACCTAAAGCCTCATGAATGCAGTATGATTCTGGGCATGTTGGCACATTGCTTCCTCCTTTCCAGCTACAGCACAGTCCCAAAGTGCATCACTAAAAGTGCTCTGTTGAAAACAGGCCAGTGCAAAAACATGAGTTTGTCACTGCAAGAAAATGGCTTTTGTTTGTCTTTTTTTTTTTCAACTGTGTGCTTCTAATTAATCCAACAGCATTTTCAAATAATTTAAGCAAGTGTTATCTTACAGAATTAGAGAAAAGCAAAACATTAACATATATAATTATTAAATAAGTGGAGGAAAAGATGAAAAATCATCAGCAATTCAAGATAGGAACACACAAAGTGGCAAAATATTAGACTATTTCTCTACCTCTAAATTCACTCATGACTTGAACAGGATGGATTCTCTTCTTTGCAGAACCTTTTCTGACAGCAGCATAGATTTCTTCTGGCTTCTCTCTTTTAATGAGGGGCTTCTTCTCTGGAGCCTTCATTCTCCACATGACAACTGGATGTCGTGGGCCAGTGGGACTCTGAATCTTGATAATCTTTGTGGATGCAATATAGGACATCTTCACTGTCTGCACCACAGCATTCATTAGATTTTTAGCGGCCTGAATTAGCGAAGTGACGCTGTCCAACTGTAACAAGGAAAGGACACATCAGCCTGGGAAATCGGTGTGCTTTTAATCACAGCATCAGCAGGAATAAACAACACTTGAAAAATAAGGCTACCATACTAAATCCTAATTTCCTTACTTTCCCTTGGTGTGTTTGATCACTATATCCATGTTCCCCCGCTCAGATTTAAAGTGATATACAGAAATTTGTGCTGGTGGAATATGAAGGCTTCTGTAGACAAGGTTAATAGTTTTCTTGGTTTTTAATGTGAATTCATGATGCTTGTCCACAGAGTTTCACTGCAATTACTACTGGTGGTTAATGAAACCAATTCAAAGAAGAGCTGTGAAAATCTGCCCCATTACTTCCACACATGCTCATGAGCAATGCTGGGATACTACAAAGTGCCTGGATTTGTCAGGAGCCAAGTCAGCAGCCAAGAGCTGTAGGGGTAATTAAGAGCAGGATAGCACACAGAAATCACAGTGACTGTGTGGCCTCTCCAGCTGCTCACAGAGTGCCAACCTAAGAGGCAGAATGTAGAACAAGCTAATCCCCATCACTGCTACCACCTTCAGCAGCACACAACACAGGCATGCAAGAGGTACACCAAAGGTATTTTCCATCAGTACTCATGGAAACACAAAACAGTAACACTGAGGAAGCTCTCTGTGGTTTGATGTTAAAAATAGCAGGACTAATCTATATAAATGGAGAGCCTACAATTCACCTTCTAAACATCCCATTTGTTGAAGCATTTGCCGTCTGTAAAAGCACTGAGGCCAGTTCTCTAAAGGGCCATGAGTTTGTGCTTTGCCATCCAGCCCAAGCCCACAGCCTTTGGCAACACAGCTTTGCAAACTGAGTCATTAGGAAAGGTTAAAGGGCTTCTCCCCTTTGCCAGGTCAATTGAATTGATCACATTCTCAACTGGAGTGTGTTATTGTCTGTCTTCATTGTCTTTGGGTAACACTTAGGAACACATGTTGGTTGTGTAACACAAATGCAAATAAGGCAGAAATAAAAAATACAGCCAAGTGTCTGGATTCAGTTGCAATTTGGAATCACAGGAAAACCCTCCAGTTAACACAACACTGCTCCTCTCTGGAAGTGCCAAAAAAAAATTACCCCTTGCTACTCCCACCCCACCTCACAGTTAAAACAGTTAGAGGCCTGGTTGAATGCACACCTATGTGTGATGGCAAACTGAAATTACCTCTGTGCTCCAAGAAAAGGTGTTAAATTTACCAGATGGCTGCTAAAGTTCACTCCTTGTTGCAGCGTGGAGGACAGTTTATAAGAGACCTGTGATCTGTGCAGGGCAGTGTGTGGCCATCACATTGTGGGGGTTGTGGGTTATAAACTGAATTAGGGAAGCCACTCAGCTCAGCTTGGTAGGACAGCACAGCTCCTATGAAACCATTTGACATGAAGTTCAAAGCACATGCTGACCCCCAAGCCTAATTTCAAATACTGCCTTTAAACCTAACATTTTACAAACTTCCAGGCTGTCAGTAAGGTTTCTGCTCACAGGCCCTATCCTTACACTCCTGACAAGTCTGCAGTTCCCAGCACATTCATTTTTCTAGGGGTGCTGACTGGGGTGTAGCAGTAGCTCTGTGGCAGATGAACTCAAGTCCTGGCCAAATTTCACACTGCTGAATACTGTCACAATAAATTTACTTGATGAGAAGGAGAGAGACAAAAGTTCACATGAACTTCTTTCTTTCCTGCTAACAAGAGGATTAATTATAACAGACACACCCATGCATACACACACAAAATTTTTTTATTAATTAACAGCTGACAACACTATAGTCTTCACAGCTTCTTAAAAGCTTTGAATAATCTTTTTGCCTCCCTAAACAGTCAATACGTACACACTCACTTTTCTAGCACTGGCAGTATAGTAACACCAAGGTGAAGCTGCTGGGTGAAAGGAAAAGATAGCTTTGGTTCTATTGTAGACTTAAAAGGCAGTTTTTCACCTTGAAGTTTGTCAGTGGCTGTAAGTGTTCCACCTTTTTAAAGCTGCATTAGAGGCACACGACAAGAATGAGAGGCTGGGCAGCAAGATAGGCTGGGGTGTCAGTGGCAGGTCCAGTGAAAGCTGCTCCAGGAGTAGGGAAAAAAAAAATCTGTTTGCATAGAAGGGAAAAGGCTTCTAGAAGAAATGGCAGCATCCAGGCAGGATAAAGGTCATCACAAAACTTCAGCTGTTTTTTTATTGTGACTTCAATGTAACTGTGAAACATGGATAATGAAATGGGATCCTTTCAGGTGAGCATTACAATTTACTTGGCCTTTCCTCTCCTGTGGAGACTGAACAGTTACCACCTTGTTCTGGCATCTGGGGGTCCTTTAACCAAATGCTTGTGGTTGTGAAATAGTCCACAGCTCCCTCACCCCACCACTGTGATCAAGAAATTTTTATGTCTTAAACTATAATCATATATATCTACTATAAACAACAAATAAACTTCATGGGCCCCTAATTTTGATGAGGTTATAACAGGAAACCAATATGTGGAATGTCAGCCTCACAGTCTGACACAGGCTCTGGGAGTGGACACCTGCCAAGTCCAGCATTTTAAACGCTAAAGCTCCAAAGACTGACTTCCAAACCCAACTGTACTGAACTGAGGTGGCTGAGTTCCACTTGTCATGCCAGAGGAACCAAACTCTTTAAGCTCTACAAAAGATGCCCTGAGATACAAACAGGCTTGCAGATACCTAAACCAAAGATATAAGAAATAGCTGCTGAAGGGCAGATGACCTACAGACCACTAAGGATGTTTAAATAAGGGGAGTGCAGTTTAAATTAGGGTGCTGCAGCTACCACAGGGATGGAGTGGGTGGGTGTGTAGGTGGTGTATGTCAGCACAGGCAGCAATCCACATTAATTTTACTTTCCTCTTGGCGTAGGCAGTGAGACACTACAGTTAATGCTACCCTTCAGGCTCTGTCCACATTATTTGCAGCATCCTACTGCCCATATTTTCCCCTCAGCTTCCTGGATGCATCTCACACTTGTCTTCTAAACAGGAAGGCGGTGGCGGTGGTGGTGGGGATATTAACAGCATCCAATATTTCGGAGAAGCTTTTAAAAGATGTTCTTGGACATGTACTACGGATGACAAGAATCAAGCCATACATTGAATCTTTTTTTCTGTCTCTAGAGAGCAGCTGGTTTTATACCTCAATGCCAGTAGCATTATAGAATTTGGTGGAAACCTGTTGTTCTTCTGTAAAACTGATGTACTCAAGGGCTGTCTTCGCTTGGATGCTTTTATCTCAGATATTCAGCAGGCTCTTCAAGGTCTCATATCCAAGAAAATTGATGAAATGAAACTTGGCATAAATGAAAGACTGATAAAATATTCATTGAGCGTTTAAATTCATTTCATTTACAGAAATGTAGCTGCAAACTCCTCAATGCACAGCAAGTGGTACATAAAGATTCAGTAGCAAAACAAACAAAACAACCCCAAACGAAAAGCTGTTTTATTTTTGCCTGACTCCACTTTTACTCTTTCAGCATTTTCCATGGAGATGCAACATTCCAGCCTCCACATTTCACAGGTCTGACTCTGTCAGTTAAGATAGTAATTCATTAAAGGCTTTAGGAAAAACATCCTTTGCCATATCTTTACTCACCTGTCCTGTTATTTTCCATTGCAAAACAAACACAGAATGATTCTGTAAGAGTGATTATAGAATCACACTGGGGTGAAACACAGAAGATATAGACCTGATCATATTTTTTTACCCAAACCCCACCACCACTACCAAAAATCCTACTGGCAACCCTCCTGCTGAAATGAACTCTCATCTCCAGCATTTTTATTCTTCCTCTGCAATGAGTCCTGAATGCAAGTAAGCAAAGTCTCCAATGAGTAATAAAGCTGAAGAAAAGGGAGTTTAGGGGGGGGAAAAAGTAATTTTTAAACTTTATTTTCAATTTGTTTACATGCATTGTATTTTTCTCATTTTTGGTAAAATAATTTCATGTCTTGGCAGTAGTAGCAATCCATTACTGTAATAAAATATTGAACAGTATAATAACTGGTATGGTCAGTTATTTTTAATATTCAGAGTGATTAGGAGAACTGTGACTTAGAATTTGAAGAAACTCTTTTGCTGTTGAAATATTTTCTGTTCAGTGCACTAAGAAATGCTTGCCTTGTCACGTGTCACCAGGAGTCGTTTCTGTAGCAGTTAAATACAAAATTTCCCTACTCCCAAAGCACCTAAATAAGCCAGTGTCCCACCCCCATTCTTCGCATAGATTTGCAGGTGCTGCCTCTTTGCCATAAAGAAGTGACAGCCTTTATTCCTTCCTTCTGGAATAAAGCTGTGAGGGACTGCACAAAACAGTCCTCACAAAGCACTGGACACGTACGGTGCCAGTGTTTGGAGCCCCAGCTGGGACACCCCGACTGCTCTGCTCTTGTTTTCTTTACAGGGAACTAAGGTTTTGCTATTTGAGAACAGATTATCAGTTGGTTGTTTACCATCTCCCAAGTTGTTTTTGCAGTTCAACCAGACTTTTGGTTTTTGTACAGGTGGGAGCTGAGAACTGAATATGAAATACAGAGTTCTTTTGTCAGCGTTTGAAGCCTGAACTTAAAATTCTTTTGGAAGCAAGGTCAGTTATGAAAAATTAATCTTAATTGAACCACAAGGTTCATTAAATACATTCCTAGAAGCAAATTTCCTTTGTTACACTATACTAAGAGACCAAGACTGAATTTTTAATTCTTTGACAGCTCAAAAATAACACGAATTCTACATTTCTGTAAAGAGCAGTGAGTGTCTGAGTAGTGCTCCATTTAAGGTAAGGAGTACTTACTACACTGTGCTTTTGATTTTAGTCCTGCTTTTTTTACTACGCTTTTGCTATTTGATTTTGTGAATTTCTTTCTTGTGCTTTCACTAAGGTTGCTATATAAAATAAAGTGATTTAATCCCTTAAGATTAAAAGTAGAAGAAAATCCAAACAGGTTAATTATTAAGAGTGAAATCTTGACTGTTGAAGACATCAGAGTTTTTCCTTGTCCTTGGCCAGGACTTGAACACAAGTTACTTGACCTGTTTTCTGAGCCACACTAGTGATAATTTCATTTTAACAGAGATCTTGACGTAGCAGCGACACTAAGAGATGGGTGTTCAAGGAAGCACAGAAAAAAGTTAAAAGAGTTGGAAGCACATCATTTCTTCACACAACTTCATTCAACATACCACTTCATAGATTCAATCCCAGTTCAGGTTGTATAGAAAATAAGCCAAAGGGAGACTTGCCATTGTGATTTTTTTTTTTTTTTAATCTGGAAACTGTTCACCTCTGCTTTGCCATGTTCTCCCTTGGGATACTGGAGAGATTTCATCCCCATTCATGGAACTGGCCTCAGGAAATCTGCTTCACCCTTTGGGTTGTTTATTTTCAATGAACTGAGTTTTCCTAAAAATGCAGCAATCCTGTTGGTTATCTACGTCTGTCTGTCCATCCAATGATTGCATTTTATACCTCAAGAGTTTCTGGGGTTTGATCCGTGTTTTACTCATTTTTCAGGTGGGGAAATTGAATCTAATGAACTAAATAACCAACCATGACCAGAATCTGCTTCAGGCTAAGTAGGATTCAAAGAACTGAAAGTGAGTCCTGTAATTAGGCCAGGCCTGTGGCCAAGTTAAATGACAAACAACTTACATTAAGGGCTGTAAAACTGTTCCTATGCAACACCATAATGGAGCAGATGCTTAGCCAGGCAGTTATCTCAGTCCCTCCCAAGTACTCACTTCCAGGGAGGTTTTAAAAAAAAGGAATCTATCTTTTTTTAAAAACAGGTCTTGAGAAAAATCCTTTATAAAGGATAATATAAATCCTTTCCTTGCTGTTTATGAAGAAATTGAGTGCTTGTCACAATAATCTTTTACATGCACTGAGGCTCAGAACTATAAAACACATCTGGATTTTTGGTAATTACCAAAGTAATTATTATTAGGAAAAGTTAACTGGCTTGTAGTGTACCTCACCAGCAATACTTGCTACTCCTTTGAGTTAGTTCTTCTCAGTAGATGCAGTTTAGAAAGCAATAGTAACTGAGATGCCTGGAATTGAGAGGAAAACCTGCTTTGCTTTGCTTCCAAAGGCCAGGAGTTCTATACACACACACCTGCCAGCACAGACTAGGCAAAAGCAGAGAAAGCTGTAGTATTATTAGATTTAAAAAACCAACCAAACAGTGAAACATTTCTTCACTTCTCAGTAGAAGAAAATTTTAATATATCAGCTCTTGAGGGCTAACATCAGCTTTTAGAAAATGGGTGTTTTAGTATTTTCAGGGTCAGACATCAAAATAAGAAGTCATTTTAAGCATGGTGTAAGGCCCTATAAGTAACCTTCCACCATCCTTTCAAACAAACTGAACTACACGTTCCCAATGACGTGGAGGAATACCAGCCAGGAGAAACAAACTGGCTGACCAGGGAGCAGTGGACACTCCCCTGATGCACAGAGGCATCAGCTTTGCCAGAACAGCTGCTGTGGACCCAAAGCAAGGCAGAAGGGACATTTTTCCACTGAAGGTCACACAGCAGTGAAAGCAGGACAGCAGCACTGAAGGCAGTGGAACAAACCATCTACGTGTAGTAAATGCAGTGGGCTGTAACAGCAGCCCACAGTTCAGCAGGACTGCCAGCATGCTGCTTAGTCCTTTGTTTCCTCTCTCAGTCCTACTGGGGCTGCAGCTGAGAAGCGGTTCTGCCCACCTCGACTTCTCTTTTAGGGGGAAAAAGAACGCCTAGAAACCCTAAAAGGAACGGAAATGCACTGCTCCCATCTCCCTTGCCAAAGGAGCAGCTCTTCAGGAGTTGAGCACAGTGCCAGCTCTTCTCCAGCAGCAGCTGAAACCCTCCAAGTGGAGCGAAGGCGTGGAGCCTCTTGCCAGCTTCCACAGCGCTCACACATTGGCCAAGACATCACTTTCCTGGAGGATGGATATCCAAGGATTGGGACTGCGGCAGCCAAAGGCCTGGTGGCAGACACCCTGCCTTGTATTTTGCTACCTGCTGCCTTATATATAGCTCTGACTGTGTTTTCACCTGCGGCACAGCCTTCAAAGCTGAAGGCCGTTCATAGCAATGCAGGGAACTTTTGATTTAACAGCCATGGGAACTCAGTGGTAACTCAGGAAGTAGTGCAGACATTTAAATCCAGCCTCCAGGCATGAAGTTGGAAGTATTAAAGCACTTACATTTGGCACAAAAGCTGACTTACGTCACTGTTTAAGGTAAAGTCTGGCTCTTGAGATACCAAGAGGAAGAGCTGAAGATAAATGAGACATTTGGAGAAAAACCAGAGTGACAAAGCCTTCAGTGCACAGGTAAGGCTGGCTAACCTGAGAGGGCTTTTCTGTGCCAGTTAGCAAATGTAACTCTGTAACTCTGGATACTGTAACTCTTGAGAACTCTCTCTTCACACATTTCCTTTTTAAGGTCAAAAAGCTCTATCTCCCTTGCCAAATACAATATAAAATGAAATACAGGAAGATAATGAGTATAAACAGCACAAAACAGAATTGCCTGGCATAAGTCAGGAAGAATGATATTAATATGTAAGGATCTGTTAATTTTCTGCTCTGTGATATAATTTGCTTTACTCAAAGCCACTGCTGGGGAAAAAAACCCAGCAAACTGGCAAGGTAAGGTGCAAGCCTATCACTGTGCAGTACTTGAGAATGAATTATCAGCTTATCTATATAAATGAATGCAATTATTGTCAATCTGCATGCTGCAAATGTTACCCCATTATTTTGTGCCTGAAGAGGCACAAATTTATTCCAATTAATAGAAGGAAGTGTCCGTTTCCTGTTTAATCACTCCTAATGAAGATGCAGTGAATCCTTACCATTTTTTCTTGTGCAGCTCACAAACAGGAAATGCAAGCTGCATTATTGAAAAATGTAAGTATTTTATGGGAGCATGAAAGACTAAACACTGATCAAGGAATTATTAATGAGTGATAATAACAAAACTGCAGTGAGTGGAGAATTAGAAGCTAATGATCTACATCTCCTCTTTTTCTGTACATGACCTTTGTAACCTCCATAACTGGGGCTCTGACTAGAATGAAGTTACTGGAGCTTGGGGAAGGACAGTGAGAAAGGTGGACTACAAGATTATATGGCCTGAAGTAAAAAAGCCACTAAAAGAGGAGAGAATTCCTAGTTCTCTCCTAAGAGAGAACTTTTAGTTAGGAGAACTCTCAGCTGGATACTCCCCAAAGCATCCCAACTGGCCCAGGCAAACTGGCCTGTTTAACCTACGGTAATGATATGGGGGGAGTTATTAATTTTGGGCAAGAAACCCTCCAGGGGAAGTTGTTAGAGGAGTGTTACAGGGAAGACAAGGTTACAGGGGACACAGCTGAAAAGCAGCTGAAGAAGGTAATGTGGTACCAAGAATTAATGACTATGAACTGTGTTCATGGATTTAAACATACTTTTTCCTATGCATAATGTTTGCTCTTTTTTGTCATGCAGTAAGTCCCAAACTGAGCTGTGCTGGCAGTCAGCAGTACCTCCCCAGCTACAGTGCTTATATAGGTGAGAATACAGAGACACAGGTGCCCTTATACCATGGCACTGCTGACCACTGTTATATGGTCCTAAACAATGTTCATCTGTAATGCCATTTACGTCTACTTTACTTGCTCTGCCATAGCATCATCCAGAAGAAGATACTGGTAAGACAGATGATGTGACTTAACACTTAACTCTATTTCAAGCAGATAGATCTACAAATATGGGATAATATATCCTTCATCATTTCCTCCTGACCTGGAAGTACCTCTCTGGGGGATTTCTTTTTGTGTTCAGACACACGTATGTGCATCTTCCATGTGTGTAAGTAAATGAACCACCATCTTAAAGTGTGTTACAGTACTTAAAACCAAACTACTTCAGAATAACAGTGATAATACATAATATGTTTTGAGAATTAAAAAGAAAAAAAACCAAACAAGTGATTGCTGTTCCTTCTAAGCAATTAGTCTTATGCTTCACTGTCTCAGATTCTCTGTGTTGTGTATAAAAAAACATGAAATAAAATGAGACTTGGGGCTACACTGGAACATTTTTTGTGGGTCCCTTCCAACTCAGTATATTCTGTGATTCCATGATATTACAAGTACAGGAAAGTCCAAATGAAACACAACACTTATGTCAATTAACAGAGTAATTTATACCATTTTTCTACTTACAGCAGACATGATAAGCTCTCCACCGAGATTCTGGATTTCTGCTTTAACTTGACTGCAGATTTTGAGCTGGTGGGAGTAGAGCTTGATCTGTTCTAGGTAAGCCAATAAATCCTGTTTGCACGACTGGTCTGGACACTGAAAAGAACAATTAATAAAGCATTTCAGCAATTGCTGATTCAAACATGTCTCAGGAATCATGTCAATACTTCACTGAGGAGTATTCAAATTGTACATTAATTTAGGCTTGTCTTTCACTGCAGCTGTATCAGGCTGCACAGTTCATTCCTCTTGTGAAGGTTTTTAATGTAATAGTTGGAGGATCAGAATAATCTTAAAATTCCTCATATTCCCTTTAAAAACTGCTGCACTTGCCTTAGCAATATTTCTAAACACATTCTTTACTGTATGGAATAATTACTTTTCCTTCTATTCCACAGAGGCTGTGTTTTTTATTTAAGAAAATACCTACATTAACAGTGATGTGGGGGATATAAACATGCATTTTGTGGGCAAATGTAAACACACATGCAGAGACAAGTTAACATTTATATATTATGCTTTATCTTGTAATATGAACTATGGGGTTTTTTTGTGTTTCATCCAGAGTGAATTCAACTCAATCCACAGATCGTCTGTATCAGTGGGAACAGGAAAATAAAGTCTTACAGAGAACTCATTGATTGCAATACTTTTAACACCACAGATTTTTTTCCCTAATATTATTTTTTTAAATAAAAATAGGGTCTTTCCAACCTCATTTTTGTGAACTGCCAAAATACAGGGAGTACTTGGAGGGGAAATATTGCTCTGAGGTACCAAAGGCCATGTATGTGTTTGTTCTGAAGCTGCTTCTCACTGCTCTGGCAGAATAAAGGCACCTTCAGGGGAATAGTGAGTCCCTGTTTTGCTACCACAGCTGTAAAAATTAAGTGTGATAAATAAGCAATGGATCCCTACAGTTTTTCAGAGATGTGTTTTTAGCCTGTGTGCTGTAACTTACATAATAAATACAGTCACTTTTTTCTGATAGGAAACTGTGTTCAGCTTTGTATATTAAAAAAGCAAATATACATTCCCACCAACCACTGTGTTGACTGTCAATGATCAGTCAACGATCTATGCTTTTATATTTATGGCTTTATTTAAACTTTTGACCTTATGGAATTGTGGTCAATGGATTTAAATCCAAAACCTGCCAGAAGTCAGCAAAAGCACCAATTCTACTTAATTCATAAAATGTTTTATCTACTGGCTTTGCTGAAGAAACCTGGTGTATGTTTAAAGGGGCAGTGTGACAATGCTATCTTCGTGGCTATGCAATATGTTTGCTTAAGCAAACAAGGTCATGCTTTAGACTTAGGAAAACAGAAGAGTAAATAAGGAAGGCCAGACTGAACAATTTAAAATTAATTAATACAACTTGGATATCAGTCCTTACGGTGTGTTCTGCTACATCTGTTACTAAAATGTTTTCTGTGCTTTGACACAGAACAAAACTTGTTTTGTTCTTTGTTTTTAGAACAAAACCAGAAGCCTTTCTTGACATCTTCTCTTGCTGCGTGTGACGTTTTCAAAGTGTTAGCATGTATACTAAAATATGTCTTTGTTTCTTCCTTACTCAGCACTGCTTTAAGAACTGTCCAAATCAATATTTAAATACTGGTATTTCATTGACTGCTTAGAAAACACTCATTGTGTATTTTATTTTAATTAGTAAAAATTTATACTTCCAGTCAAGTACAACGGTAATACCTCTAAGCATCAGAATTAATTATATCAACATGAAGCGTATTCCTGGAAAGATATTCTTTCTCCTCCCTTTTTTTCTTTCCTTAACTACACTGTGACTTTGTCCTCTCAGCCAGAATAACTCAATATATAGGGTGGTAGGGTGGTAATATGCCAATATAGTGTCTCATGCACTTAAAACAGTGACAATGTCAATTAGAGAAGTTCAGTGAGAAGAATAATTATTATATAGTACTCTTTTATATAATAATATTGTCAGGCTTGTCACATTTACTATCTTCCTTACATAGCATTAGAGAAGAAATGTGTACCATTTTAGGAATTCTAAACATGATATGAACCAAAGTCTGAGAAATGGCCACTCAAGAACAAGACCTTGAGGTCAAAATAGTTCTATGAGAACAGTGTTTCAAGGCCAGGAGCATTCGAAACAACAAATGCTTGGCCTTAAATAGGAAAAGTCTTCTGAAATGTAATTATGCAACTGTACAACTCTGTGGCATACCCACAGCTTTACCACCCTGAGTAGATACAGTGCATCTTTCCCCTCCAATGCCCACACCAAGGCACATAAGAAGGACAAGAAAGATTTTAATGGATACAGGTATTCTTTCCTCCATTACAAATCCAAGGGGTTATTGAAAGTAATTAGACTGTGTTCAAAACAAAGGAAACCGTTTTTAACACTGGGTGTTAAGTTGCAGACATTTTTGGTACAGAATGATTATATTAAAAGCTTAAGTGGCTTAAAGAAGTTACTGGACAAATTAATGGACTATTCTGTGTGTCTGGTTTTATAGGTTTGGTTAAGTAAATTCTGGAATGGCTGCTGAGTGCTGGGAGACCTTATTGTGGGAGTATTGTGCCATTATCCCAGGAGTTCTGTAAGTATTCACTATTAACTGTAAGTATTCCCTATTAACTGTAAGTATTCCCTATTAACTGTAAGTATTCCCTATTAACTGTAAGTATTCCCTATTAACTGTGTCAGCAACAGGGTACTGGCCTGAACGTACCTGTGGTCTGGCCAAATGGGCTCATTTTTGTTATTCACCCATAAAACTTCACCAGATGAGATGACAAAGACAGGGACTAACAACAGAAGAGCAGGCATTTGCAAGGGTAAAGATAACATTCTGCACTACTTTAAGCAGAATAAAATATTACAAAAAAACCCTAAAGCCTCATGCCTTATAGCATATCTAAATCAACCATGGACAGATGTTAGGAAGAAACGTACTGTGTAGGACATTCCATAAGGAATCTTCTACATATTGCTCAGAAGCATCTGGTACAAGCAACACTTGCTCACCAGTGAAACCAAAATCTGGGCTGCAACAGAAGGACAGCTAATAAATTTCTGCATTTAATCAACTCACAGGCCATTGATGATTACCAGTTTAATACCTCACATTCTTAGCTAGAAATGCCCACACATTATGAGAGTTTTTTTTTCCCAGGGCAGACCCACATCCAAAAAACGCAGTGGCATTTTACCTAATAGAAGGAATATCCACAGGAACCTTGAAGTGATTTGATAAATTCAAATTACGCAGTGATTAAAACCATATTGAAACCAAGATTCACAATCGCAAGTGAAGAAGCCACTGGCACAGCAGTGGCACAAGAGGTCTAGACAAACAATTCTGCTGGAAATTCTGATTGTAGACAATATTGTTCTTGCTTTAATTTCATCCCTTTGCTAAAAAGCCAGTAGCATTTCTCTAGAATCCAAATCTGTCTTCATGGTGATTAATATTGGGTATAATCACCCACAGACCCACTACTATAAATGTCTGTTGTGCCTGTTGGGTGCTGTACCACATGGGGTTCCCTTCATTGACAGGGATGTAAGATTATTTACACTGTGCTTTCCTTACTGTGTTAATTAGGTCTGGCAAACAACATATTAAATGACACCTCACAGTCCGAGTGCCTGTCTTACTGGGATAGTAGTGGATGCAAAACAACTGGAACACCAAGGAGGCTCTTAATAAAACCTTAATCTTCAGCACATTCCATCAAACCAGGATGTACTAACTAACTGCCTTAATTATCTCATGGCTTCCAGGTCACAAATTTGACAATGAATTTATAACAATCTTATTTTAAACTACATTTATTATCAACGTACTTGTGATTCATTTGCCTAGGTTGATGTTGATGCTGTACTGTGATTATTTTCACAGTTGTTAACTCTGAGCCATTTTAAAAGTGCTGTGAGCACAGACTGAAATATAACTGAATTCTGCTAATTGTACCACACTGCATCCCTTTCCTTCAAACACAGGGAGAATCATAAAAAAATATGAAATTAAAGAAAAATGATATCAGAGAGCTTCTATTGTGGCTGATGAGTTATAAAAAGACTGCAAATACAGTTACAGGGTAGTGTTTACTGTGGAGTTTTTCCTTTTCTCCTAACAGAAAAACAGTAAGAATGATGTAATTACACAGTTCTCTGAAATTACACGGAGTATGAATCAAAATTATTCATTAGAAAATGTTTCAATAACAGGAAAAGGCCAAAGACACACAAGAGTGATTCTTCATTATGCAGAGGTTGCTTCTGTTGGGTCTGAGCAAGATGGAGGAAGCAGAGTGATGGTTTTGCTTTTCCTCCTTTTGTGTAGCTTTGAACACTGAAAATCCTGTCACACATTACTGTGGTCCTGGTAACTCCAGAGGCAGAGGAAGAGCTGTCATGGAAGCTGAACACTAAAGTGATGCACCCTAATAAAATGACAGTATCAGAGGTGGTAACAAATACTTAGATGGAAGCCTAAGCTCGATAGCAAGTGGTGGGACAGCATCCAGAAGAGTATGTGCAGGAATAATGGAAGGACCTATATCTTGAAAGATCAGCTAATTGAAAATTGAAGCAAATAACACAAATCCATTTTTTTTTCCATGTAATAGAAATTCCACATAATTTAAATGGTACTAAAAGGCGGCATGTGAAAAATGCCACTAAAAAGTCTGAATGCTGCTGAGAAAGGCATTAGTAAAAACCTTATTGACATTCATGTTCTACTCTGGGCACCAAATTCTTGAAGGGTTCCTCCAGTTTGGCTGAAATTCAGAGAAGGACTCGAGAAAAAAGCCCAGGGGATTGTAAAGTTTATTTTATTTTAAGACCCCGAGATAGAAGAGTATAGGAAATTTGCCAAAATAACAGCTGTCTTTGAAAATGCTTTTGAGATTAGAAAAACACCACAGTGAGAAAACAGCTTTCTAAGTTAAAGGATGACTTGGCACAGGCAAAAAGAGGTTATAGAAGTTAAAAGATTTCTAGCCATCTGAGGAATGAGAGGATCATATGGTTGTAATAGGAGGAATAAAGGGGGAGGATTCCCTTTTTTTACTAAGTTTGACACATATCTAACAATGACTGTAGTTGTGTTCACCACAGCTGGAAGGGCTGCTTTGGTTCATGTTTTGATTTGTGTTTGGGTTTTTTAATTGCCTGTGTTCCTTTGCTTCTAGTGCTTGTAACCTGAAATTGCATCTAAAATACAAACACCACTCATAAGTAAGGAGTGTCCTTCAGATGCACACGAGATGCCACAGGAATAAATACCAGGGCTCAGGTGGCTCATGAGTATCAACTGTGCAAGCTCTGAGAGAGGACAAATGGAAATAATTTGAGTGAATTCAGTAAAATGGTTCCCATAACTTGAATGATGTCACATTTCCCAGCAACTATGAGGGTCCACACGAATTATTAGCACTTATGGTTCATGAATACTTCTTCCTCACACATGAGATTTGTTCATGTTTCTAGTCTAGAGTCACTGTAATAACACAGATGAAATATTTCTTCCCTAAAATTTTCCTTTATCTACAAGAAATATTTCAGCAAGAGTGGATTTTCTGTTCTAAAACCAGCAAGGATTTATGACCCTTACTCATCTTTGCCTTTGATATCACAATGGTTTCTGCAATATATCAGTGACAGTCTTGAATTTTAATTTGTAATTGATAAAATCTTGAAAGGAGCTATTGTCCAATGCCCCTGAAAAGAGAGATGTGCTGGGAGAATATCTGTCAAGATCAGAAATGGGGACTCAAGACATTTCACCTACTTTTTCCACAAATCTGATCACAACTGTAGAGATGCAAAATAGAAATTCTTCATCTTGTTATCTGGAATTCAGGGAGACACATGACAACAAGTAACAGACTGTTGTTGCTTCCTAGATACTAGAAGAGCAAGCCTTGTGTATGAAAAAAAAAGTGAAGGTAAGGGTGTGGAAACAGTGACCATACCATGCTACACCAGGCCTAAAAGGTACAGGAAGAGAAACGTTTTAAATGTGATATTTGCACGCTGCCATTTCCCTACACTGCTGGTAGTGCCTGGCCCTAAAACAACCAACCCCACCTAGGGAGGAGGTGTGTTCAGTTCCTAAGCCACCACTGCAGCTCTCAGCCAGGCTGCTCCAGCTACCCTGCTGCTGGGGAGGGGGTTCTGGTGCGGGGTTTTCAGCTGTCGGACGTTTTAAAAATCCGGTGGAAATAAAGTAGACCTTACAGCTCTAACACTTTGCCTTTGATGATGAGATATAATTCTTTTAAATGCTAAAAAAAAAAAAATCACCTCAAGACTGCGAGTATTCAGAAGCTGAAACAGCCACTGTTGAGGGGTGGAAGGAAGATAATCCAAGTACAAGACAACCCAAGTTTTATTCCTCTCTCTCCCTCTCTTTCATTATTGTTATCATTGTTCTTATTACTACGACTTACATTTTATTTTGTTTAAATTATTAAGCTTTTTATCTCAACCCATGAGGTTTATTGTTTTTTCCAGGCGACTGAGAATGGTTCTTAGTTGCCAGCTGGGGTTAAACTGGGACAATAGCTCTTATGTATATATATTTGTATGTATGTATATGTATATTATATATAATATGTATTTTATATCTATTTGTATGTATGTATAATATATGTTATATATATTCGTAGGTATGTGTGTGTATATTATATATATGTATTTATATATATTTGTATATATGTATAAAATATGTTATATATATTCATAGGTATGTATATGTATACTATATATAATATGCATTTTATATCTATTTGTTTGTATGTATAATATATGTTATATATATTTGCAGGTATGTATATTATATATAATATTTATTTTATATATATTTGTATGTATTTGTAATATATATTTTATATATATTAATATTTGTATGTATGTATATGTTCACTGTTGTTCCAATATATAAATATACACATATACATATATATATATGAATGCACACACATTTATATATACATACATACATACTTTATGTCTAAAATGTTGCATTCATAGCTTAAGGGAGCTCACAAACATTCACACATACATACAAATGCATCTGTAGATAAATATATGTCCATACATATCTGTGAATGTACACCTATATTTAAGAGTGTGTGTGTGTGTGTGTAAGTGTATATAAACAATAATATGTATGAAGAAGAGAATCCACACATATATTAAGACAGGATCTATATATCCACAGCCTCAGAAAGGGAGAACAGAAGGAAAATCAGAGAGTAGATCTAAAAATGTCACTTAAGTAAGTGACCTTCTTAGGTGTCAGAGGTTCTGTGGATGGGTGGGTGTGGGACAAACTTTACTGCACTGCTGCACGAACAGCCCACCTGATCCGCAATGAGCCGCGCCAGGACGTCCATCCTGGAGCCTGACTCCGAGATCATCTTCGCTGCGTTGATCACATCGGATGTGTGCTTCAGCGGTCCTCTCCCCCTGCAAAGGAAACAAATGAAACTCTGCTATTCAACACCTGAGGATAAATCCTATCCGTGCACACCAGGCACAGAAGAACTCAAACAAAGCAACAAGCAACATTAATTAAATTTCCCCCCAGCCCCAACTGTTTTGTTTTCACATCCCACAAATTTGTATTGTTTGGCATCAACTGGATGCAGAAGTACCAGAAAGATGTCACACAGTTTTTTCATACTGGAAGCGCAACCTGGTCCAAATCAGGATTTTAAGAGATTTCTTGTGCAGTTTGGTTTTCCCAGGCTTATATGAAGTTCCTCAAATATGAAGTTCCTTCCACAAATTTTCTTGTAAATATGTTCAAAGGAAGTTCAGCACAGAGATGTATTCAGAGAGTCATTATGGATACCTGTTGTTTTTTGGGTTGTTTTTTTAATTTATTTGGTGCACCCAAGAGAAAATAGAGATAATGAACAAAGCTGCAAATCAACTGGCATATGCCACTCAAAATACAGATATGCCACATCTGAAAATACTTTCCAAACAATTTCACAATTTCTTCAGAATTTTCAGCCTAGGAAAACAGTAAAGTTCTTGCAAACAATTTGCCAAGAAGTGAATATCTTTAGTTTTATTATGTGCACATTTAATTCCTGAATGCCCCATATCAATTTATAAGTTCTGCATTGGACAAAGGAAGTAGACAACATGAAAAAAATTAATATAGTTCTTTGTTCAAATGAGAAGACCCTTTTCCTCAAAGTCAGTATGGTTTCATGTATAAAGAAGATTTACCATTCATTCCAGTAAAAAATTCATTTAGACTAAAAGTATTATCATATATAACTATACAAACACTTCATTCAGTAAAAAGACAGTGATGACAATGTGGCAGGTATGTTTAATCTCGTCCTGATTAATCATGTTGCTTAACTAAGAACTATTTGTTAATCCTTGGGAGTAAGGCAGACTAATTACAGTTCCTTATTCTCAACTTTTGAAGCTCACATTTGGAACAACCTAGAATCAGGTATTTTACACATTATTTTTTCTACAGAAAGGCATCTTCTTGTTATGAAAAACCTACTTAGCAAGTTGATCAGTTTAAAAGAGAATAATAGAGTATGTGTCCAGGATGAAGTACTTCAACTTTTACCCATGCCCTTCATTTTCCTTTCCTGCTATTTTCCCTTCGAACCCTTAGGTGCACAACCAAATCCTTACAACTGCATATTGGCCCTCCCCACCATATCAGGCCACTAATTAGTTTTTCGTTATAATTTTCACTGTGGCAGGTTCCAAAGCCCAGAGGTCTGTCAGTCATCCATAGCAAGTCCCTCAGGTGCTCCACAAACTATCAGCAGTCCAGTACCCTCCTGGAAAGGTCCAACCCTGTCACCAGCGAGATAACATTAAAGGTGAACACAACCCAGAATTAAAGCAGCCAGGAAAGGAGAGATGTAACAGTCCAAGGCTACTTCTGTTAAGGAAATTCTTGTGAGCATCAGCCAGCAGCTTTTTTGACATCTGAAGCTATGATGAACGGGTATTTTGAAGGTGAAGTTCTTCAATTAAACTAGCAATTTCTTGAACCTGTGCAAGTCCCTCAGAGATCTAATGAGAATGAAGCAATTCTACCCAGGAAAGGTTATTTCAACCAAATGAACAGGAAGTATTTCCTTTCCCCACAAATACGGCCACCAGGAGAGCCATTAGAGGAACCTCAGCAATGACTGTTCTGGACACTTCTGCTCCACTTGCCACCTAATTGCACCAATGGTTCAAGTTCTCTATTGGAGTCTCTAAGCAATGTGGGGCAGGATGCTTCTGAGCTCTAAGCCACAGCTCAGTCTTGAAATGAAGGTTTAGTGTTTAGGAATGCCTCAGCCTTGTATTAAAAAGCGCTGAAATCCCAGCATGCTAAATTACACATACAAGGAGGGCTCCTTTGCTATACAACCAAGAACTATCCGTACTCCTTTTTTTACCTTCAGGAAAAATGCAGAGCCTTTGACATAAAGCACAGGTGTAACTGCCTCGGAGTATGGCATAATGAGCCATTATGATGTTTGGCAATTCTAAGTACTTAGAAAAGAATACTTGGGAGAGTACACCAAGTCTGCTGAATCACCAGGCAAACAGAAGAAACAGAAAGAAAAAAGACAAACCAGGATGATACTTCAATGGGAACAGCTGCAAACATTAAATTTGGAACATTACATATTAAGTGCTTAGAGAGAGAGAAAGAAAGAGAGAGCCTATATAGTAGTTTTTTACAGAGCCAGAGGGGCTAATACAGTGGGTCAGCCTGAACAGGAGTTTGTGAGGCGGTTGCTGTTATGAAAACAGCAGATGTCACACCCAAGGTGGACAAAGCAAGCTTTCCTTCTGCTTTCTCCATTTGGGTAAGACTGCAGCTGCAGTTCAGGGAGGGGGGTTCCATGAAGAACGTTTTTGACATGATGAAAAATGTGCAAAAAGGATGATCAGACATGTCACAAACATAAGGAGAGACGGAAGGGTTCAGTGGGGCAAAGGAGGAAGCACGAGCAGGAGAAGCTGTAGGACACAGATGGTAACAGTCTTCAAAGGAGCTTTGCAGGGGATAGGGGAGGTGGGATGGAGCTCACATTCTGGAAAAGCAGGTTCAGGTGAGGTGCTGAGCTCGGGGGGAACCAGAGCAGAGCAGCCAGGAGGCTTTGGCATCACTGCCAATGGACAAGACCAGACAGACATCTGTTGTGAGGGACAGGGTGGTATCAGTCCCCTTCTGAGGTCTCTTCCAGCCCAATGATTTTATAATTTTAAATTTAACAAAGAAGTTGCATGTTTTTTGGTGAATGATTACCAGTTGCAATGCATGTTGCCTTCTAATGTTATCGATGCAGATGTGCACTTTTGAATTCCCAGTTTTCCTGATTTACCACCAGATCAGCAGATTCAGAATGCCACTTACTCAGATTAACTCCCTGGATCCAGATGTTAGAAACACAAAAAGTCCATTAAATCATCTAGGTTGTTTCCCCCAGCCATTACACAGCTCCCTACCAGTTTTATATTCACTTGCATTTTTTCTGGCAAGTTTGAAGTATGAAAAACACTTTGCTTGGAAGGCTGTTTCCCTGAGCTATCCATTTCACTCTCTGGAACATTTTTCCAGATATTTCACTTAGTTCTTTCTCCATGTCATTGTAACAGCATCCCTTTCCTTCTATAGATGTAGTCCCCGATCCTCCTCCACCACGTGCTGAAGCATCCCAAATTGTGGTAATAGTACAGACCTGCATGCATTAGCTTGGCTCATGCACCTACAGCCAATAAAGAAACTAGACAGATAAAAAAATCCTCCCACCAAGTACCATCTGCTGGTCAACACCATCACAAAATTGTTCCTTCATAGAGTTTTCCACCTTTTCCCCTACATAAATTTCTGTGCTATGGCAACCATGTAATTTATTTTTTTTATTATTTTTTGAGTCAGCCTTATCTTACTGTTTTTTCCTTGCTTCCAGTCTCTGAAATGTTTAAAGACAAACCTCATTCACACACTCAGTTATTGAAATTCTTTCTCAATGATTTCACTAATTCATAGCCTATAGTAGACTCTAAATTCCTGATCTGGATTGATTGCATGGAAGATCTAATACACCTATTTTCCTCACACTTGACTATTTCCAAGCATGAAGCCTTACTGGCTAAGCGAGCTGATAACACAGTCAAGGTTGTGAAAACACAGAGGAGACACAAAGTACTACATTTACAAGCAGTTATGTCCCCAAGGTAGTGATGGATTGTTACTACAGCTCAAATCACTGCTCTATCCAACAAGAAAACCGGGAATAGGCCAAAAATAATATGAGAGAGAGATGTGCAGCTAAGTCTAACTAGAAGGAAAATAACTGGATTGTGTACAAAGAAAGCAGTTTAGAATATCTTCAATAGGTGTAGGAGAAAAAACCCCAACAAACTTCACATAAATGTTTCTTGCAAGGTACAATCATAACAAGAAAAAAGTTGGACTATGTTAATTAGTACAACACCAAGGGGTTTGGATAAATGTGAAAGACAGACTGAAGCTGCTCAATCTAATCATTCTTGCTCCAAGCCCTGAGAAACTGTGTGCCTGAAGAGAAATTCCATCCCTGTCTGCATAAACTTAACTGCAATGATTAGCAGACATCAGTTTCGGGCATTATTTCCTGTTGTCCTTCACACTGAAAAGCAATGATGCTCTCTCAATTCTTACTAAAAAAGAAACTTGTATTCTTATTTCAAATCCAAGAAGCTTTCGCCATCCATCGCCTTTTCCAAGAAAAGCCTCCTGTCTCGGAGCAAAGCTGAGTGGCTTCTCCCTCCTCACTGTGTTCACCTCAGCAAATGTTTTGTACTTCCCCTGCGTCAGAAACAGCAATGGGGAGCTCTACTGACTAGTCAGTCTCAAGAGAGAAACTCCTCTCTAACACACACCCAGCACCACAAACCACCATCACACATAAGGAGTGAGTTCAAAGCACTTCAAGGTGTGAACTCGAAGCTTCATGAGCACTGTCACAGGTCAGTGGCCACTGTCACATTAAAGTCTTGAGCTCCACACGCTGACCACCCCATCATCGGTCCTAGTTTCTAGATCAGCAACTCCTGACAGCTCCCACTGGTTAGTTTTATAAGAAACATCCCTTACTTTACTCACAGAGACAGAATGATACTCCCAAACACAATTATTACATTTTATATATACTACTGTATTTAGTCAATTCACTAATCACTACATTCCAAGGTACCAACTTGTGCCTCCTGCAGTTCTTCCCCAAACATATCGTGTGTTTCTCCTTTATTCTGCCTTCCCACTGCTGCTCTGCCTGTAATACTGGCATGGTAAGAAATCTAGATTCCAGTCAGACATTCTGATCTCTGTTCCATGAGCTGTTTCTGAAGTTTGCTTTTTCTTTTATTAACCTACTGATTGTGTGCAGGCCTGGGAGCAGGGATAAGGAAGCAGGATTCACACCTCACTTATTACA